AAAAAAAAAAAAAAAAAGAAAAAGAAAAAATTATTACTGACATTTTATTAAACCATATTTGTATGTATTCCTTCATACTTTTTTAAAATGGCATGATGTAAATTATGTCCATTTCCTAAAAGATATATGGTTACAAATATACACTCTTCTTAAAAATATTTTATTTCATTAAATATACCTTTCCAAAATGGTACACTGATACTTATGAGGATCTTGAAATCTCATTTCAAATAAGTTATACAGTTAATTAAATAATGAAATAATAAATAATATGAATAATAATGAATAATAAATATTATATTATATTACGTGTGAAACTGTGAAAGATAAAAAAATTGTGGTTCTAGCCACAAATTTGTAATTTTCTGAACAACAAATATCAATATCATTATGGATTTCTGTACAGATAGCGAACACACTGTTTTGTCACGAATCTAAGTGCCTTGATACAGTTATTGACATGAACCGTGTGAGAGTAATGGAAAATCATTCAGCAAAATGCTCAAATCTAATCTTCCAATATTATTACGAACTCACAGAAAATATGTTATTTCTTTATACACCATAAAATGGAAACCACAAGACATGACATTTTTAGATAAAATTATCAATATAAGAAACTCACAATATTGTTCCTAAAAATTCAATTCTCTAGCAAACAAGACTGCCAGCTACGGAGGGCACTATGAAAAGAACCTGTGAATTTCATAAAGTGGCGGATCCAGACACTGAGGTAAGGTGGGGGCCTACTAGTCCGGACCCTGAGATAAAGAGGGGCCCCACTATTGAAAAAAACTTCCGGCCCTTTGGGGGTGGGGTGCCCTGGGCCCCTCCCCTAGATCCGCCACTTTCATATATATATAATTTTCAATTTTGATATTTGTTCATACTAGTTCTAAGCAAATGCATGGTCAATCAAGTCAGCATTGAGCAACACTTCATTTGCTGCGAGACAAACGACCGCAACATGTCAACGCAACATATCGCAACATTGTTGGGCGCAACATGTTGCGTGCGTTTGGCCACCGTGTTGCGAGGTGTTGCGACATGTTGGGTGTTGTTGGCTCAAGTTTGAAAATGGTCAAATTTGAGCCAACGACACCCAACATGTCGCAACATGTCGCAACACGGTGGCCAAAAGCACGCAACATGTTGCGCCCAACAATGTTGCGATATGTTGCGTTGACATGTTACGATCGCTTGGCCGGGGCTTTACAAAAGAAGCGTGAGCCAATTTATAAATCGCTCACCAGGCTGACTAATACAAGACTGACGTCGATGCAAATTTCCACGCGGATTGGGAAATGTATGACATTTATTCTCATAACTCGACAGAAACAGGGAAAATATTTGCCTTAATGTCTAACCACCGACAAAACGTGGCACGATACACGTGCGATACAAGTGGTAAAGATTTAACATATAAAGCCCACCGACAGCAAAAGAGATTTTGAGACAACTTCCCTTCTCTAACTGAAATATCACGAACACGATAAAGATTTAGTTTTGTAGAAATGTTAACATGGACGTGACAAAGTAACTGAAACGTGACAAAACAATCTCAGATAATGTCGATTAAAATTTGATGCATAGATATAAGCAGGAAATACGCTCTTTACATGCATGGTGATCATTTGTTTATTAAAACCCTTTAAGTGCCAAACGGACGTTTTTGTCCGCTGAGGGGTCATGCACTTTGTATAAACCACTCGTGACTTGATTAATTTAGGCGTCGATAGATATTCTTGATATCTAGTCCAATTTTTGTCTAATGCGCATGCTCCAAAGTAAAACCTTGTACATTTTGGTACCTAATCCTTAGGGAAATCTTGCTCCTCGGTGAGAAATCGGCTTTTCCGCAAAGTTGAGGCTAATTCAGGGTCGTTGCAGCCAAAAAACCGAAGAAATTGGGCCCTTAAAGAGTTAACGTAAGAGTACGAATATTTTGTTTTGGAAGCTTATTACCTTTTCTCGTTGAGGTTTTGGGCAGAATTCCACTCTCAATAACAGTTCTGCAGGATTTACGTACTGACATGTTGTCCGCCATATCTGTGTCTATGTCGGGGTAGCGACGTTGTTTTTGCCAATAGGCAAACTCAATTTTCGCGGAATCCTCAAAACCCTCTCGCTGGTTCATTTGAGTACTGTATATCACCAATCAAATCACTGATCCATACAGCAATCATTTATTCTTATCCTTCGATATAAATATATTCCATCGATATAAATAATGCACCGACGTAACATACTTAAATTTAACTATTATTGCAAAATTACACAATATTTAGCTTAAGTAAATGCCTATTAAACTAATAATTAATACGGTATTATAGGAATGAAAACCTATGATATCACTAAAGCTGCTTTTCAAGGATGCCGTGTCTCATTCAAAGCTGCATTTTACGTTTAAATTCGCTCTATTCCCTCTTTGGGACTATGCCCGGGTTACTACACCAAGGTCTATAAGAATAATGTCTACAGACGCACGCCCGACCCATGCTTATACCATGTGGCAACGAATCCAACAACGTACAGTAACAATGTTGACGATGTTTACACTCTTACTATGAAATGCATACAAATTTTAACACGAACCACATTCTGTTATCTTGTTGTTGAAGAAATAAAATACAACTGAAAAACTAAATGGTAGCATTTATTTCTACGGGGAAAGCCATGCATTTAAAGCATCCCGCGTGAAAGCCTTTAGGCTTCTTGTTTGGTGACGTCCTCGTTCCCGTTGTCGTCTGCCTCAGCTCGGTATGTATATAAGTACCTTAATTCATGAAAAAGAATAGACTGAATTGAATTGATTTTACACCACGTGTGAAAAAAAGAAAAGAAAAGGAAATTAGAAATTAAAAGTGATAACTGAACAATAATCAGCGTCAAACAATTGACAACGTCATCGTCTGACTACAATTATCTCGCGGGCTACATGTTTAATGACACTTCAAACTCTTTTCCTCGTCGAGTTGGCTTGCAGCGAGTTATTATCAACACAACCAGTAAAAACACAGCTAGAGCAGCAAACAACCCTGTTAAAATGGCAAGCACCATCACGAGTTTGTCTGGAAAAAAGAGATAAATAATTATATCATTATAGCGCTTTCTCGTAAAAAAAAATGTTGCGGCAAAGAAGGAAATCTAAATCAGGTTTAACCCTGTAACGTACACGCAATTTATAGATTCAAGGCGGGATGGGAGGGGTGGCAGAGAGTGGCACCTCATCCATCTCTACCCCAATAAGATATGAAGAGAAAGCGTTAGTGTTAACAATCTTCAGACCATGGGTGGGCTTATAATTTTAAACTTTCTACTTTCATATATTTAGTAAAAGCTGCAAAACTTCGAGGCATTACTAGGAATTTGTCCGCGAACAATTTGGCGTCAAATGCTTTTTGTTCTCGAAACTTGAATTAGTCCTTTCCCTTCCGCCTCGTTTGTAAGTCGAATCAGTGATAACTTCAATAACAGCTAGAGTATTGACATGTGATTTGACGTCACTATCCCGTATTCCTTGCCTTAAAAGGACACAATATTGGAAGTAGTATATGTACATACGCCCTTGATATAATCGACTTTATCGTGGGAGGTGGATTCTACCCATTGTATCCTCCTCGGTCGCAGATGATCAAAAAAGCCCGGTCAGAATAGGGTTAGCCACCCAAAGACAAATCCGTAGCGTCCATGGAAGGTGGGCAGCAATGGAGTAGGGGACTACCCTTGGCCCGCTGCGGTAGCTGTGAGGCCCTGGTAGTAACCCTGAATAAGCTGGCAAATAGAGACTATGGCAAGTCTGCAGAGGGCTGGTCACACTCTCAGACTCAATCTTTGACCACATAAAACGACATGGACTGATGATGGTGAATAGGGTTAAATTTCACGTAGACATACCTTTTTTGTCATCTATTTGTTCAGTTGTAGTCGGTATGTGGCTAGTTGTGGTTGGTGCTATTGTTTCTTCAATACTTGGTACAAGCTCATTCCAGAAGGCCATCTTGTCTGGACGCATCTTGGACCTCACTGTCAAATTAAGACTTAGTCCCAGATACTCTTCAGTGTCAGCTGTGTAGTGGGGCCAAATTGTCCCTACCAACGTTGGATTATTTGGATTTCTTCAATGCATGGGCGGAAAGAAAAAAAATAAGGCTTTCTGTCAATTCTATCGAATATACGTTGTCTTTTTACAAAGTTATAGGTGAACTATGCTTGCAAGAATCAAGAAAAAAGTTTGCAGGTTCACCACTGTAAGTAAAATTGAACTGAACTAAACTTATTCCATTTTCGTTCATTCATTCATGCTATAAATGTTTTAATGTGAGGCGTGGTGACCTCTAGAAGCCATCAGGCTTTTAAAACAGGATTGACTAGAAAATCCTGTTGATCATCTATCGTGTTCTGCACGGATAAGGACTTCATGATCATTACTTCAAGACTCTACCACTGTACAATTTCATCTAACTGTGAAATGTTTCGTTCCCCAGCGTCCAAAAGTTGAGGTTTCAAGTAACATCCTTTATTTAAACAAGATGAGATTAAAAGTATTACATGTTTGAGGAGTCGTGTGTAACTACCTAATGCCTAATTAGCCTTCAAGTTAAAGTGGATAATTAAAATATGCATAATCAGACTTGAGTCGATTAAGACACTCAGAATCGAACTGATGTTAACAACCTAAGTTGCCGTATATCCTACGCCGATAATGAATTATATCATAACTTGGTTGTACTACTTACCCAGTTTTTGCAAAATTTGTCCACAAGGTCATAATATCCTTGCTGAGTTTCTTATCTGTGTCAGATGTGAGATTCTTAGCCACAAGAAAGGGTCCACTAAAAAGGTAAAAAACATCAGCCCCGTGATATATTCCGGCCCATGGAATTGTTGGGTAACCAGGGAACACTTTAGGCGCTCTTTCAAGCTGGTAAAAGTAAGTAGGAGCCTGTTTCTTGACGAATGCGTTAGCTGACAGGATAGCGGGAGCCTTAAAGGAGGCGTCTGTATTAACGTCGAGATATCGTTGAAGTAAGAGGTAAGGATCGGTGACATTCGACCAATCGGTGTACTGGTAGATGATCAGTTCATGCAAGTGCGAGTTTTGATTTCGGGTCCAAGTCTGATTTTTAATCACCTCCTCAAACAAAGATCTCTGTATTCCCTCTGTAATTCCTTTGTTGGCTAAAAAGAAAATAAATAGATAATAAGTAACTTACAATATTTAGAGAGGAAGCCAAATCAGCCTTAGCTATAGTTTGCATGCGGGTCACCTATCCTGGTCGAATTGGAATTTGGAAATGTGCTTTTAGAGGCAGGAGAACCAGAGAGCCCGGTGAAAAATTATCGGAGCAAGGCGAGAACCAACAACAAACGCAACCCACATTTGGCACCGGGCCGGAATTGAACCCAAGCCACATTGATGGGAGGCGAGCGCTCTCACCACTGCGCAATCCTTTCTCCAAACGATATAAGAGTATTTCCAATCTCTCAACATCACAATTGTCAGTTCTAAACATTTCAGGTAAGCTTTAATACTTGGTCATGATCAGTGCATGAGTTTCTCCTTCGTTACTTTGTCAACTCTTCGTTGTCTACTCTTCGTTTAATGTCGCACAGAGCTCGCAATATTAGAAAAATCCATTTCTTTTGCATAGTCTGAAAAACCTAAACAAGATTTTCGCACCTGTTTTTGGCCAGATTTCCAAACTCTTATCAAGTATCGCGTCGTAACGCCGAGCCACCTCAAGGGGCATAATGCGATAGCCAAAACAAAACAAAGAAACAAAACCAAACAAATAGACAAACAAACAAAAGAAAACGAAACAAAGCCAAAAATAACGGTTGTGAAAGTTAATTTATATTTTACTTCTAGTCCGTTATTCAAATTAGTTATTAACCTAGAACGCTAACAGCAAAGACTGAGCCGTCATCCTGTGTCACTCCAATCATGATATTACTCTTGTTAAATTTCCCGCCTTGAAGGAGCTTCAGGGAAGAATCTGCAGAAAGAAACCGATTATATTAATTTAGTACATCACAGATAAAATGTATTTTGACCTAGCATAAATTATCTGCAGACGTGAAGCATACGGGGATATTCCGTCCCCTGATCTAAAATAAGATATCAGACTATTAGAAGTTGGTTTAGATTCTCTTTAAGGATAGCTCTAGCTCCTATTTGGCACATTTAGAAACGAGAAGAAACATTGGGCAAGTATCATCTCGAAGCGGCTTTTGCGACCGTCACTTGGGACAAAAGCTGTAACGATGCCACAAGCGAGCGGTCCCAGACGTTTCTTGTTTCTAAAGTGGCGAATTTAAGATATACTAAAACTCATTCATGTAAGAAAGACAAAACAACAACATCCAAACACAAACAAACAAAACAAAACACAAAAACAAGCAAAGCCACAACAACAGAAAATTGCAATAACCATTCGATAAGGAATTCGAAAGAAAACGAAGATATAGCTCGGGCTACAACCTGTCAATATATAATCAACGTCAGAAGCGCTAGGGNAAAAAAAAAAAAAAAAAGAAAAAGAAAAAATTATTACTGACATTTTATTAAACCATATTTGTATGTATTCCTTCATACTTTTTTAAAATGGCATGATGTAAATTATGTCCATTTCCTAAAAGATATATGGTTACAAATATACACTCTTCTTAAAAATATTTTATTTCATTAAATATACCTTTCCAAAATGGTACACTGATACTTATGAGGATCTTGAAATCTCATTTCAAATAAGTTATACAGTTAATTAAATAATGAAATAATAAATAATATGAATAATAATGAATAATAAATATTATATTATATTACGTGTGAAACTGTGAAAGATAAAAAAATTGTGGTTCTAGCCACAAATTTGTAATTTTCTGAACAACAAATATCAATATCATTATGGATTTCTGTACAGATAGCGAACACACTGTTTTGTCACGAATCTAAGTGCCTTGATACAGTTATTGACATGAACCGTGTGAGAGTAATGGAAAATCATTCAGCAAAATGCTCAAATCTAATCTTCCAATATTATTACGAACTCACAGAAAATATGTTATTTCTTTATACACCATAAAATGGAAACCACAAGACATGACATTTTTAGATAAAATTATCAATATAAGAAACTCACAATATTGTTCCTAAAAATTCAATTCTCTAGCAAACAAGACTGCCAGCTACGGAGGGCACTATGAAAAGAACCTGTGAATTTCATAAAGTGGCGGATCCAGACACTGAGGTAAGGTGGGGGCCTACTAGTCCGGACCCTGAGATAAAGAGGGGCCCCACTATTGAAAAAAACTTCCGGCCCTTTGGGGGTGGGGTGCCCTGGGCCCCTCCCCTAGATCCGCCACTTTCATATATATATAATTTTCAATTTTGATATTTGTTCATACTAGTTCTAAGCAAATGCATGGTCAATCAAGTCAGCATTGAGCAACACTTCATTTGCTGCGAGACAAACGACCGCAACATGTCAACGCAACATATCGCAACATTGTTGGGCGCAACATGTTGCGTGCGTTTGGCCACCGTGTTGCGAGGTGTTGCGACATGTTGGGTGTTGTTGGCTCAAGTTTGAAAATGGTCAAATTTGAGCCAACGACACCCAACATGTCGCAACATGTCGCAACACGGTGGCCAAAAGCACGCAACATGTTGCGCCCAACAATGTTGCGATATGTTGCGTTGACATGTTACGATCGCTTGGCCGGGGCTTTACAAAAGAAGCGTGAGCCAATTTATAAATCGCTCACCAGGCTGACTAATACAAGACTGACGTCGATGCAAATTTCCACGCGGATTGGGAAATGTATGACATTTATTCTCATAACTCGACAGAAACAGGGAAAATATTTGCCTTAATGTCTAACCACCGACAAAACGTGGCACGATACACGTGCGATACAAGTGGTAAAGATTTAACATATAAAGCCCACCGACAGCAAAAGAGATTTTGAGACAACTTCCCTTCTCTAACTGAAATATCACGAACACGATAAAGATTTAGTTTTGTAGAAATGTTAACATGGACGTGACAAAGTAACTGAAACGTGACAAAACAATCTCAGATAATGTCGATTAAAATTTGATGCATAGATATAAGCAGGAAATACGCTCTTTACATGCATGGTGATCATTTGTTTATTAAAACCCTTTAAGTGCCAAACGGACGTTTTTGTCCGCTGAGGGGTCATGCACTTTGTATAAACCACTCGTGACTTGATTAATTTAGGCGTCGATAGATATTCTTGATATCTAGTCCAATTTTTGTCTAATGCGCATGCTCCAAAGTAAAACCTTGTACATTTTGGTACCTAATCCTTAGGGAAATCTTGCTCCTCGGTGAGAAATCGGCTTTTCCGCAAAGTTGAGGCTAATTCAGGGTCGTTGCAGCCAAAAAACCGAAGAAATTGGGCCCTTAAAGAGTTAACGTAAGAGTACGAATATTTTGTTTTGGAAGCTTATTACCTTTTCTCGTTGAGGTTTTGGGCAGAATTCCACTCTCAATAACAGTTCTGCAGGATTTACGTACTGACATGTTGTCCGCCATATCTGTGTCTATGTCGGGGTAGCGACGTTGTTTTTGCCAATAGGCAAACTCAATTTTCGCGGAATCCTCAAAACCCTCTCGCTGGTTCATTTGAGTACTGTATATCACCAATCAAATCACTGATCCATACAGCAATCATTTATTCTTATCCTTCGATATAAATATATTCCATCGATATAAATAATGCACCGACGTAACATACTTAAATTTAACTATTATTGCAAAATTACACAATATTTAGCTTAAGTAAATGCCTATTAAACTAATAATTAATACGGTATTATAGGAATGAAAACCTATGATATCACTAAAGCTGCTTTTCAAGGATGCCGTGTCTCATTCAAAGCTGCATTTTACGTTTAAATTCGCTCTATTCCCTCTTTGGGACTATGCCCGGGTTACTACACCAAGGTCTATAAGAATAATGTCTACAGACGCACGCCCGACCCATGCTTATACCATGTGGCAACGAATCCAACAACGTACAGTAACAATGTTGACGATGTTTACACTCTTACTATGAAATGCATACAAATTTTAACACGAACCACATTCTGTTATCTTGTTGTTGAAGAAATAAAATACAACTGAAAAACTAAATGGTAGCATTTATTTCTACGGGGAAAGCCATGCATTTAAAGCATCCCGCGTGAAAGCCTTTAGGCTTCTTGTTTGGTGACGTCCTCGTTCCCGTTGTCGTCTGCCTCAGCTCGGTATGTATATAAGTACCTTAATTCATGAAAAAGAATAGACTGAATTGAATTGATTTTACACCACGTGTGAAAAAAAGAAAAGAAAAGGAAATTAGAAATTAAAAGTGATAACTGAACAATAATCAGCGTCAAACAATTGACAACGTCATCGTCTGACTACAATTATCTCGCGGGCTACATGTTTAATGACACTTCAAACTCTTTTCCTCGTCGAGTTGGCTTGCAGCGAGTTATTATCAACACAACCAGTAAAAACACAGCTAGAGCAGCAAACAACCCTGTTAAAATGGCAAGCACCATCACGAGTTTGTCTGGAAAAAAGAGATAAATAATTATATCATTATAGCGCTTTCTCGTAAAAAAAAATGTTGCGGCAAAGAAGGAAATCTAAATCAGGTTTAACCCTGTAACGTACACGCAATTTATAGATTCAAGGCGGGATGGGAGGGGTGGCAGAGAGTGGCACCTCATCCATCTCTACCCCAATAAGATATGAAGAGAAAGCGTTAGTGTTAACAATCTTCAGACCATGGGTGGGCTTATAATTTTAAACTTTCTACTTTCATATATTTAGTAAAAGCTGCAAAACTTCGAGGCATTACTAGGAATTTGTCCGCGAACAATTTGGCGTCAAATGCTTTTTGTTCTCGAAACTTGAATTAGTCCTTTCCCTTCCGCCTCGTTTGTAAGTCGAATCAGTGATAACTTCAATAACAGCTAGAGTATTGACATGTGATTTGACGTCACTATCCCGTATTCCTTGCCTTAAAAGGACACAATATTGGAAGTAGTATATGTACATACGCCCTTGATATAATCGACTTTATCGTGGGAGGTGGATTCTACCCATTGTATCCTCCTCGGTCGCAGATGATCAAAAAAGCCCGGTCAGAATAGGGTTAGCCACCCAAAGACAAATCCGTAGCGTCCATGGAAGGTGGGCAGCAATGGAGTAGGGGACTACCCTTGGCCCGCTGCGGTAGCTGTGAGGCCCTGGTAGTAACCCTGAATAAGCTGGCAAATAGAGACTATGGCAAGTCTGCAGAGGGCTGGTCACACTCTCAGACTCAATCTTTGACCACATAAAACGACATGGACTGATGATGGTGAATAGGGTTAAATTTCACGTAGACATACCTTTTTTGTCATCTATTTGTTCAGTTGTAGTCGGTATGTGGCTAGTTGTGGTTGGTGCTATTGTTTCTTCAATACTTGGTACAAGCTCATTCCAGAAGGCCATCTTGTCTGGACGCATCTTGGACCTCACTGTCAAATTAAGACTTAGTCCCAGATACTCTTCAGTGTCAGCTGTGTAGTGGGGCCAAATTGTCCCTACCAACGTTGGATTATTTGGATTTCTTCAATGCATGGGCGGAAAGAAAAAAAATAAGGCTTTCTGTCAATTCTATCGAATATACGTTGTCTTTTTACAAAGTTATAGGTGAACTATGCTTGCAAGAATCAAGAAAAAAGTTTGCAGGTTCACCACTGTAAGTAAAATTGAACTGAACTAAACTTATTCCATTTTCGTTCATTCATTCATGCTATAAATGTTTTAATGTGAGGCGTGGTGACCTCTAGAAGCCATCAGGCTTTTAAAACAGGATTGACTAGAAAATCCTGTTGATCATCTATCGTGTTCTGCACGGATAAGGACTTCATGATCATTACTTCAAGACTCTACCACTGTACAATTTCATCTAACTGTGAAATGTTTCGTTCCCCAGCGTCCAAAAGTTGAGGTTTCAAGTAAGATCCTTTATTTAAACACGATGAGATTAAAAGTATTACATGTTTGAGGAGTCGTGTGTAACTACCTAATGCCTAATTAGCCTTCAAGTTAAAGTGGATAATTAAAATATGCATAATCAGACTTGAGTCGATTAAGACACTCAGAATCGAACTGATGTTAACAACCTAAGTTGCCGTATATCCTACGCCGATAATGAATTATATCATAACTTGGTTGTACTACTTACCCAGTTTTTGCAAAATTTGTCCACAAGGTCATAATATCCTTGCTGAGTTTCTTATCTGTGTCAGATGTGAGATTCTTAGCCACAAGAAAGGGTCCACTAAAAAGGTAAAAAACATCAGCCCCGTGATATATTCCGGCCCATGGAATTGTTGGGTAACCAGGGAACACTTTAGGCGCTCTTTCAAGCTGGTAAAAGTAAGTAGGAGCCTGTTTCTTGACGAATGCGTTAGCTGACAGGATAGCGGGAGCCTTAAAGGAGGCGTCTGTATTAACGTCGAGATATCGTTGAAGTAAGAGGTAAGGATCGGTGACATTCGACCAATCGGTGTACTGGTAGATGATCAGTTCATGCAAGTGCGAGTTTTGATTTCGGGTCCAAGTCTGATTTTTAATCACCTCCTCAAACAAAGATCTCTGTATTCCCTCTGTAATTCCTTTGTTGGCTAAAAAGAAAATAAATAGATAATAAGTAACTTACAATATTTAGAGAGGAAGCCAAATCAGCCTTAGCTATAGTTTGCATGCGGGTCACCTATCCTGGTCGAATTGGAATTTGGAAATGTGCTTTTAGAGGCAGGAGAACCAGAGAGCCCGGTGAAAAATTATCGGAGCAAGGCGAGAACCAACAACAAACGCAACCCACATTTGGCACCGGGCCGGAATTGAACCCAAGCCACATTGATGGGAGGCGAGCGCTCTCACCACTGCGCAATCCTTTCTCCAAACGATATAAGAGTATTTCCAATCTCTCAACATCACAATTGTCAGTTCTAAACATTTCAGGTAAGCTTTAATACTTGGTCATGATCAGTGCATGAGTTTCTCCTTCGTTACTTTGTCAACTCTTCGTTGTCTACTCTTCGTTTAATGTCGCACAGAGCTCGCAATATTAGAAAAATCCATTTCTTTTGCATAGTCTGAAAAACCTAAACAAGATTTTCGCACCTGTTTTTGGCCAGATTTCCAAACTCTTATCAAGTATCGCGTCGTAACGCCGAGCCACCTCAAGGGGCATAATGCGATAGCCAAAACAAAACAAAGAAACAAAACCAAACAAATAGACAAACAAACAAAAGAAAACGAAACAAAGCCAAAAATAACGGTTGTGAAAGTTAATTTATATTTTACTTCTAGTCCGTTATTCAAATTAGTTATTAACCTAGAACGCTAACAGCAAAGACTGAGCCGTCATCCTGTGTCACTCCAATCATGATATTACTCTTGTTAAATTTCCCGCCTTGAAGGAGCTTCAGGGAAGAATCTGCAGAAAGAAACCGATTATATTAATTTAGTACATCACAGATAAAATGTATTTTGACCTAGCATAAATTATCTGCAGACGTGAAGCATACGGGGATATTCCGTCCCCTGATCTAAAATAAGATATCAGACTATTAGAAGTTGGTTTAGATTCTCTTTAAGGATAGCTCTAGCTCCTATTTGGCACATTTAGAAACGAGAAGAAACATTGGGCAAGTATCATCTCGAAGCGGCTTTTGCGACCGTCACTAGGGACAAAAGCTATAACGATGCCACAAGCGAGGGGTCCCAGACGTTTCTTGTTTCTAAAGAGGCGAATTTAAGATATACTAAAACTCATTCATGTCAGCAAAATAAAACAGCAACATCCGAACACAAACAAACAAAACAGAACACAAAAACAAGCAAAGCCACAACAACAGAGAACCATTCGATGAGGAATTAGAATTCGAAAGAAAACGAAGATATAGCTTGGGCTACAACTTGTCAATATATAATCAACGTCAGAAGCGCTAGGGCGAGCGGGCCGGGCACTTAGACGCATTAGTAACAGGAAGATACAAACTTTTTCCGTGTTGTAAATTTTGTGCTGACTTTTTGAAGGTAATAGATGCCGGTTAGGACTCTTTAGGGATTTCTCTAAAAGCTAGCTCTGGCTCTTCTCTTTGCCTTTCATGCTGAGGGAAAAATATCGGAAGTTTTGAGCGGCTGGCCAAACAGTTTGGAGTCCAACAAGTTGACTGACTTGGATCCATTCGCGACTCCGCGTCACTTTCGAGCCAGAGTATTTCCCTGTGTTTATTTGTACTTACCTTGGTTTTTCCTTGAGTTTTATAAAATTCATACCTGGCAAAAAGTATCCATCTACCACTGGTCCCAAAGACAGATAATTCAACTGTGAAAATATTTTTGATTGTGCATTTAGAACCTCTTGAACAGTTTTCTCTTTTGCACAAGCTTTCAGAGAAGTAATTTCACATCCTATGGCTTTGGCAAAACTCCTAAAACAAAAAATATTAGACCCGTAAGAGAAATGTATCTTACTCGATCTGCATGGATAAGTGAAGGTTAAAAATCATCTCTGCCCCATTACCTTGTTTAAGGGGCTGAATAATTAAGGTTTAACCTATGAATTAGTACTGATCAAAATTCCAGTTGTCGGCTGAGAAATAAAGCGTTAATTTTCTTACTGATAGCTGATCTCATAATTTAACGTTTGTTGTCAATTTCGTCGTCAGACAATTGGACCTCTATTCTCTGTTTGCTAAATTTGGTGGGAACATGAAACTACTTTTGAAGTCATCCTAAAATGACCAAAAAATTAATGAAAACGTGATTGTTAGCAGGAAAGGGTGGTAAGGCCCCCGGATGTTATCAGACGCAATCCATTTTCGATTGCGTAAGGCGAATAAGTTCGTTTGAACAAAGATGGTGCTATGTGGTCTCAAAAACACCAAAACAAACGTGTCCTATCGAAGTAACGCGAGCGTCGAAAATCTTGTTATATATCGACAACAACAGTTTTACAAAAATCAAGACTTCGGAAATTAAACGTTCCATTGAGTTCGATTAAATTGTCCAATCATTTTTGTGTGAATTCGATTTCTTTCGATTGCCCAACTCAATCCGCGTTGAGTTCAAATGAGTTGGATCAAAATTCATTTGATTGTATAGGATCATGCTTATACATGTACCTTGCTCGTAAGTCAGCTTCATCTCTTTCCAAAGTTGAAGACAGGGAAACTGCTGTCCCGCTCTGCATGATAACGTTCTGGTACAGACCGCTGGCAAGTGGTGACAGCATCAACAGTCCAACACTAAATCCACCAGCTGACTCACCAAATATAGTGACTCTGTTTGGGTCTCCTCCAAATCTGGACAGTGGATTAAAATGAGAGGAAATAGAAGTCAGAACGCTTTAGCGTGGAAAAAAAAAACAACAACAAAAAACAGATTCTGAGTCTGGGCCATAGTGGTGTCTAGCCGTACCCAGTTCTCAAAAATGTTCGCAATGCCAATCAAATTGATTCCTCCAAAATGTTTATTGATTTGTAAGTCACATATAACACATTTAAGGATATAAGGGGGCGGTGAGGGAAATATTGGACGCTGATAAGAGAGGAAACGGTAATAGGCCGTTCCGAGTTGTCTTATTTCTATGTGTCAAAACGAGTCTTCTTGTGAAACCATTCACATGCATTTTCACATGCATGGAAGGTTTTGCACCAGGATTCGTCAGAAACAGAGGCACAAAGTAACTCGGAAATGGCCTATTGGAAGGAGGGCGGGTTATGATAAGTTGGTTGTCCTGTGTGATGTATCGTCACGTGATCTTGTGGATCACGTGTTGTGTAAAAGTGCGGCAATAAACTCTTGAGGTTGAAGGGTGCAGACGTGTATTTTCTTATGCTCATATCATGGTGCCATGATCTCTTCAAAAGAAAGCTTACTGATTTTCAATTTCGACATGGAACGTATCAAACATCCCTCAGAATTGGATATTGATAGTCTCAACCTCGCACATGCGTAGAAAGAATGGAAGGAAGCCTAGGAATTGTATCAGATATCGAGTGGCCTACTCGAAAAGGACGATGCCATACAAATAACAACTATCCAAAATATTCTCTGGAACAAAGCAACACGAACAAACCCCGGAGATGTTACGAAAAGGACTTTTAAGTTGAAGGTATTTTAACAGCGTTTGAAACGTATTGTGTACCTCAGAAGAATACAACTACGAACGATACGTTTTCAGAAAGACGATCCAAGAAGATCGCACGTTTGACATATTTGTCACAGCTCTCAGAAGAGGGGCTGACTATTGCAATTTCGGAGCAATTAAGGATTCTCTGATAAGAGATCAGATTGCGGTGGGCATAAATGATTCCAAACTACGAGAGCGACTGCTAGTACGGGAGACAGATTCGACACTCGACAAAGCCATCAGACTACGCAGAATCACGGAACAATCTATCGAACAGTCGCAAATCTTCAGTTCACCAGCTACACAGACGAGTAGCGTCGACGCTGTAAAGAAGACAGAGTCACCGGTGGACAGATGAAAACCCAAACACATAGAATTGTAAAGAATAATGCCATGCAAATTTTGCGCAGCGTCTCATGACAGAAGAAATTGTCTGGCCTATAGAGCCACGAGTCACATGGAAGAAACCACTTTGCACGGTGCTGCCTCAAACTGAAGAGTGGCATGGAAGAGAGAAGAGTTCGTCACGCATGGAAGTAGAGGATAATGAAGACAATGAACCATTGGATGGTCTATACACCGAGGAAATTCAAGGTAGCTCTAGAAGGAACAATCAGCCANAGTGTTAACAATCTTCAGACCATGGGTGGGCTTATAATTTTAAACTTTCTACTTTCATATATTTAGTAAAAGCTGCAAAACTTCGAGGCATTACTAGGAATTTGTCCGCGAACAATTTGGCGTCAAATGCTTTTTGTTCTCGAAACTTGAATTAGTCCTTTCCCTTCCGCCTCGTTTGTAAGTCGAATCAGTGATAACTTCAATAACAGCTAGAGTATTGACATGTGATTTGACGTCACTATCCCGTATTCCTTGCCTTAAAAGGACACAATATTGGAAGTAGTATATGTACATACGCCCTTGATATAATCGACTTTATCGTGGGAGGTGGATTCTACCCATTGTATCCTCCTCGGTCGCAGATGATCAAAAAAGCCCGGTCAGAATAGGGTTAGCCACCCAAAGACAAATCCGTAGCGTCCATGGAAGGTGGGCAGCAATGGAGTAGGGGACTACCCTTGGCCCGCTGCGGTAGCTGTGAGGCCCTGGTAGTAACCCTGAATAAGCTGGCAAATAGAGACTATGGCAAGTCTGCAGAGGGCTGGTCACACTCTCAGACTCAATCTTTGACCACATAAAACGACATGGACTGATGATGGTGAATAGGGTTAAATTTCACGTAGACATACCTTTTTTGTCATCTATTTGTTCAGTTGTAGTCGGTATGTGGCTAGTTGTGGTTGGTGCTATTGTTTCTTCAATACTTGGTACAAGCTCATTCCAGAAGGCCATCTTGTCTGGACGCATCTTGGACCTCACTGTCAAATTAAGACTTAGTCCCAGATACTCTTCAGTGTCAGCTGTGTAGTGGGGCCAAATTGTCCCTACCAACGTTGGATTATTTGGATTTCTTCAATGCATGGGCGGAAAGAAAAAAAATAAGGCTTTCTGTCAATTCTATCGAATATACGTTGTCTTTTTACAAAGTTATAGGTGAACTATGCTTGCAAGAATCAAGAAAAAAGTTTGCAGGTTCACCACTGTAAGTAAAATTGAACTGAACTAAACTTATTCCATTTTCGTTCATTCATTCATGCTATAAATGTTTTAATGTGAGGCGTGGTGACCTCTAGAAGCCATCAGGCTTTTAAAACAGGATTGACTAGAAAATCCTGTTGATCATCTATCGTGTTCTGCACGGATAAGGACTTCATGATCATTACTTCAAGACTCTACCACTGTACAATTTCATCTAACTGTGAAATGTTTCGTTCCCCAGCGTCCAAAAGTTGAGGTTTCAAGTAAGATCCTTTATTTAAACACGATGAGATTAAAAGTATTACATGTTTGAGGAGTCGTGTGTAACTACCTAATGCCTAATTAGCCTTCAAGTTAAAGTGGATAATTAAAATATGCATAATCAGACTTGAGTCGATTAAGACACTCAGAATCGAACTGATGTTAACAACCTAAGTTGCCGTATATCCTACGCCGATAATGAATTATATCATAACTTGGTTGTACTACTTACCCAGTTTTTGCAAAATTTGTCCACAAGGTCATAATATCCTTGCTGAGTTTCTTATCTGTGTCAGATGTGAGATTCTTAGCCACAAGAAAGGGTCCACTAAAAAGGTAAAAAACATCAGCCCCGTGATATATTCCGGCCCATGGAATTGTTGGGTAACCAGGGAACACTTTAGGCGCTCTTTCAAGCTGGTAAAAGTAAGTAGGAGCCTGTTTCTTGACGAATGCGTTAGCTGACAGGATAGCGGGAGCCTTAAAGGAGGCGTCTGTATTAACGTCGAGATATCGTTGAAGCAAGAGGTAAGGATCGGTGACATTCGACCAATCGGTGTACTGGTAGATGATCAGTTCATGCAAGTGCGAGTTTTGATTTCGGGTCCAAGTCTGATTTTTAATCACCTCCTCAAACAAAGATCTCTGTATTCCCTCTGTAATTCCTTTGTTGGCTAAAAAGAAAATAAATAGATAATAAGTAACTTACAATATTTAGAGAGGAAGCCAAATCAGCCTTAGCTATAGTTTGCATGCGGGTCACCTATCCTGGTCGAATTGGAATTTGGAAATGTGCTTTTAGAGGCAGGAGAACCAGAGAGCCCGGTGAAAAATTATCGGAGCAAGGCGAGAACCAACAACAAACGCAACCCACATTTGGCACCGGGCCGGAATTGAACCCAAGCCACATTGATGGGAGGCGAGCGCTCTCACCACTGCGCAATCCTTTCTCCAAACGATATAAGAGTATTTCCAATCTCTCAACATCACAATTGTCAGTTCTAAACATTTCAGGTAAGCTTTAATACTTGGTCATGATCAGTGCATGAGTTTCTCCTTCGTTACTTTGTCAACCCTTCGTTGTCTACTCTTCGTTTAATGTCGCACAGAGCTCGCAATATTAGAAAAATCCATTTCTTTTGCATAGTCTGAAAAACCTAAACAAGATTTTCGCACCTGTTTTTGGCCAGATTTCCAAACTCTTATCAAGTATCGCGTCGTAACGCCGAGCCACCTCAAGGGGCATAATGCGATAGCCAAAACAAAACAAAGAAACAAAACCAAACAAATAGACAAACAAACAAAAGAAAACGAAACAAAGCCAAAAATAACGGTTGTGAAAGTTAATTTATATTTTACTTCCAGTCCGTTATTCAAATTAGTTATTAACCTAGAACGCTAACAGCAAAGACTGAGCCGTCATCCTGTGTCACTCCAATCATGATATTACTCTTGTTAAATTTCCCGCCTTGAAGGAGCTTCAGGGAAGAATCTGCAGAAAGAAACCGATTATATTAATTTAGTACATCACAGATAAAATGTATTTTGACCTAGCATAAATTATCTGCAGACGTGAAGCATGCGGGGATATTCCGTCCCCTGATCTAAAATAAGATATCAGACTATTAGAAGTTGGTTTAGATTCTCTTTAAGGATAGCTCTAGCTCCTATTTGGCACATTTAGAAACGAGAAGAAACATTGGGCAAGTATCATCTCGAAGCGGCTTTTGCGACCGTCACTTGGGACAAAAGCTGTAACGATGCCACAAGCGAGCGGTCCCAGACGTTTCTTGTTTCTAAAGTGGCGAATTTAAGATATACTAAAACTCATTCATGTAAGAAAGACAAAACAACAACATCCAAACACAAACAAACAAAACAAAACACAAAAACAAGCAAAGCCACAACAACAGAAAATTGCAATAACCATTCGATAAGGAATTCGAAAGAAAACGAAGATATAGCTCGGGCTACAACCTGTCAATATATAATCAACGTCAGAAGCGCTAGGGAAGATGCAAACTTTCTCCGTGTTGTAAATTTTGCGCTGACTTTTTGAAGGTAATAGATGCCGGTTAGGACTCTTTAGGGATTTCACTAAAAGCTAGCTCTGGCTCTTCTCTTTGCCTTTCATGCTGAGGGAAAAATATCGGAAGTTTTGAGCGGTTGGCCAAACAGTTTGGAGTCCAACAAGTTGACTGACTTGGATTCATTCGCGACTCCGCGTCACTTTCGAGCCAGAGTATTTCCCTGTGTTTATCTGTACTTACCTTTGTTTTTCCTTGAGTTTTATAAAATTCATACCTGGCAAAAAGTATCCATCTACCACTGGTCCCAAAGACAGATAATTCAACTGTGAAAATATTTTTGATTGTGCATTTAGAACCTCTTGAACAGTTTTCTCTTTTGCACAAGCTTTCAGAGAAGTAATTTCACATCCTATGGCTTTGGCAAAACTCCTAAAACAAAAAATATTAGACCCGTAAGAGAAATGTATCTTACTCGATCTGCATGGATAAGTGAAGGTTAAAAATCATCTCTGCCCCATTACCTTGTTTAAGGGGCTGAATAATTAAGGTTTAACCTATGAATTAGTACTGATCAAAATTCCAGTTGTCGGCTGAGAAATAAAGCGTTAATTTTCTTACTGATAGCTGATCTCATAATTTAACGTTTGTTGTCAATTTCGTCGTCAGACAATTGGACCTCTATTCTCTGTTTGCTAAATTTGGTGGGAACATGAAACTACTTTTGAAGTCATCCTAAAATGACCAAAAAATTAATGAAAACGTGATTGTTAGCAGGAAAGGGTGGTAAGGCCCCCGGATGTTATCAGACGCAATCCATTTTCGATTGCGTAAGGCGAATAAGTTCGTTTGAACAAAGATGGTGCTATGTGGTCTCAAAAACACCAAAACAAACGTGTCCTATCGAAGTAACGCGAGCGTCGAAAATCTTGTTATATATCGACAACAACAGTTTTACAAAAATCAAGACTTCGGAAATTAAACGTTCCATTGAGTTCGATTAAATTGTCCAATCATTTTTGTGTGAATTCGATTTCTTTCGATTGCCCAACTCAATCCGCGTTGAGTTCAAATGAGTTGGATCAAAATTCATTTGATTGTATAGGATCATGCTTATACATGTACCTTGCTCGTAAGTCAGCTTCATCTCTTTCCAAAGTTGAAGACAGGGAAACTGCTGTCCCGCTCTGCATGATAACGTTCTGGTACAGACCGCTGGCAAGTGGTGACAGCATCAACAGTCCAACACTAAATCCACCAGCTGACTCACCAAATATAGTGACTCTGTTTGGGTCTCCTCCAAATCTGGACAGTGGATTAAAATGAGAGGAAATAGAAGTCAGAACGCTTTAGCGTGGAAAAAAAAAACAACAACAAAAAACAGATTCTGAGTCTGGGCCATAGTGGTGTCTAGCCGTACCCAGTTCTCAAAAATGTTCGCAATGCCAATCAAATTGATTCCTCCAAAATGTTTATTGATTTGTAAGTCACATATAACACATTTAAGGATATAAGGGGGCGGTGAGGGAAATATTGGACGCTGATAAGAGAGGAAACGGTAATAGGCCGTTCCGAGTTGTCTTATTTCTATGTGTCAAAACGAGTCTTCTTGTGAAACCATTCACATGCATTTTCACATGCATGGAAGGTTTTGCACCAGGATTCGTCAGAAACAGAGGCACAAAGTAACTCGGAAATGGCCTATTGGAAGGAGGGCGGGTTATGATAAGTTGGTTGTCCTGTGTGATGTATCGTCACGTGATCTTGTGGATCACGTGTTGTGTAAAAGTGCGGCAATAAACTCTTGAGGTTGAAGGGTGCAGACGTGTATTTTCTTATGCTCATATCATGGTGCCATGATCTCTTCAAAAGAAAGCTTACTGATTTTCAATTTCGACATGGAACGTATCAAACATCCCTCAGAATTGGATATTGATAGTCTCAACCTCGCACATGCGTAGAAAGAATGGAAGGAAGCCTAGGAATTGTATCAGATATCGAGTGGCCTACTCGAAAAGGACGATGCCATACAAATAACAACTATCCAAAATATTCTCTGGAACAAAGCAACACGAACAAACCCCGGAGATGTTACGAAAAGGACTTTTAAGTTGAAGGTATTTTAACAGCGTTTGAAACGTATTGTGTACCTCAGAAGAATACAACTACGAACGATACGTTTTCAGAAAGACGATCCAAGAAGATCGCACGTTTGACATATTTGTCACAGCTCTCAGAAGAGGGGCTGACTATTGCAATTTCGGAGCAATTAAGGATTCTCTGATAAGAGATCAGATTGCGGTGGGCATAAATGATTCCAAACTACGAGAGCGACTGCTAGTACGGGAGACAGATTCGACACTCGACAAAGCCATCAGACTACGCAGAATCACGGAACAATCTATCGAACAGTCGCAAATCTTCAGTTCACCAGCTACACAGACGAGTAGCGTCGACGCTGTAAAGAAGACAGAGTCACCGGTGGACAGATGAAAACCCAAACACATAGAATTGTAAAGAATAATGCCATGCAAATTTTGCGCAGCGTCTCATGACAGAAGAAATTGTCTGGCCTATAGAGCCACGAGTCACATGGAAGAAACCACTTTGCACGGTGCTGCCTCAAACTGAAGAGTGGCATGGAAGAGAGAAGAGTTCGTCACGCATGGAAGTAGAGGATAATGAAGACAATGAACCATTGGATGGTCTATACACCGAGGAAATTCAAGGTAGCTCTAGAAGGAACAATCAGCCAAATCTACTAGTTAATAACATTCCCATAAGTTTAAACTTGATACAGACGCAGAATAAAATGTAATTTCCTTAGGTTAGGCTAATGATTTGAATGCTTGGGTACAGCCAACAAGCATGCTACTCAAGTCATTTGGGGTGGGGGGACCAGCTAGATACGATGGGCAAATGCTTTGTTGACAGACGGCAAAGGAAACTAAGGGTTCAAAACCCTTGGAGTGTTGTGTAATCTGGGATAATGTAAGACCTATCCTTGGTTCAGAATCACGTTTAGACCTAGAGCTATAATCACGTGCACGCTAAATAACAAAGTAGAACAACTAAGTTCCAGTGTTGATGAGGTGTAAGAAAAATTGACCCTTCTGGACGAATTTCAGGATGTTTTCAAAGGTTTAGGTTGTGTTCAGGGAGAGTATAACATTAAGTTGAAAGCTAATAGTCATCCTACTATTCAACCACAAAGGAATCTCCCATGAAGACTGATAGATAAACTCAAGGGAATTGTTTTCAAAACGATCTTGAAAGAAAAGATATCATTGCCAAAGTAGAGGAACCAGTTACATGGGTTAGCATTAAGTAATCGTTGAAAAAGCAAGAAATATTTCGGATGTAAAGCTCTGAGATTGTTCCTACACCCACCTGATCTTAATGAAGCCATTGAAATAAAGATTTCAAACCACCAAACCTTAAAACAATTTCGAGCACTCAAGACGGTTGCGAAGTTTTCTCGGTTCTTGACATGTCAAATTGTTATTGGCACCAAAAAACTTTCAGAAGAATCCTCGTATCTCTGCGTGTTTAATTCACCTTTTAGCCGATATCGGTTCAAGAGAATGCCATTTGATATTTCATGTGCAAGTTAAGTGGCCCAGAAAATGTTTGAAAAACATTTTGGCAATATCTCACGTACATTGCCAATTTTCGATGATATTATCATTGGAGGTAGAGGGGCTACTTTTTCCTTATTTTCTTTTTTCCAACCAAATTAAAGTTCATTATTCAAGGTAACATTTTCCAAAAATTAAAAATAAAATTAAAACGCGCGCGAGTTATTGGGAAAAAGACATTTTTTTAAAATAAAAGTTACTAAACCGTCAAGGTGTCATAATCCCCAAAAGGCATGGACTCCTCGGCGACCTTTTCGCAGCAAACGGCTTAATCCAGAGATCCTATATCAAATACTTTCAATTTGAGATTTCATGTCCGTCAAGAGTGCCTTTTGGCAATCACGCTTCGGCAATTGCTCCTCAGTTTCTTTTTGTGTTGTTGCACATCGCTTTTCTCCGTTTTGCCCTTTATTGTTGACCACCGGCCTAAAACGTATGCGCCTAAA